TTGGGCAGGTTTTTACCCCTCCACTCTTTTTTTTTTTTTTCTGCATATTATGGGGGAACAGATTTTAAGGTTTCAATAAATGCCCTCCCCCCCACAAGTCTGAGTTTCCAGCATGACCATCCCCAGATGTGTGCACATCTCATCCTTATGTATGTATGTTATGTATGTATATATATATACCCGCCTGGACCTTTAACCCCTTTAAGCAACATAAATGCCATAGCAAAGCTATAAAGTATACTTATCCATAAGCATTGAGAATCTTGGTTTTAGTTATAGACTTGTAGGAAATTGCTATATAAGCATAATCGTTTGTTAAAGCCATTTGGGCCTAAGGATGCTTTTTGTAGTCTCTATCAGAATTAGCCACATTTTGGCTGGGTGTGTAGCTCATTCCTGTAATCCTGACACTCTGGAGGCCGAGGTGAAAGGATCACTTGGGCTCAGGAGATTGAGTTGCATTGAGCAATGATGATGCCACTACACCATACCTGGTGACAGAGCAAGATTCTATCTCAAGGAAACAAAAAGGTTATAAGTCATGTACTTCTGACAATGACGGAAAAGGAAGCTTATAGGTAGCTGAACATTCAAATTATGTATAAAATTATATTAATCTAGACAGAAACAAATTTTAAATGAGTCCTAGTTGCTGAATATAGGCCTGGTTCTTTGCCTCGTGAAAGCAGCACCATTTGGATTGTTGTCTTCTCTTGGTCTGAAACCAGGCTTTTGTAACTTGAGTTTGATGTTAACTACCCAGGAGCCACGGCCTGTGACTTAACAGCACATGGTTGTTAACATATTTGATATAGCTTTGATTGCTCTTGAGAACATTTTCAAGATGTTAAAAGCTGAAACATTTGATTAAAACAGAATCACAAGTAATTGTAAACTAACAGTAATTTACTTAACCACTTCGGTACCAGCATCGACATAGTCGACAGCCACAGATGAACGCACACAGCGACTTTAGCTGACAGCCGTGATGTGACTTTTGTAAATTTTCATTTATCAAATAAAATTGTGAACATTAAAATAACATAATAAACATATATGTATATGTTACCTATGCTAATTTAAATTACAGTAAAGCTGCGCTGTAAAGTAAAACAAGCTTTCAGTGCTTTAAAGCTGTCCTCATCATACAAGAGCAAATGGATTCGTTGTCAATGCACAGCACAAAACTATTGTGCAGACTATGAGTGCCGGTTCGCAGCCGGTGAGCGCCGTACCAAGTGGTTAACCAAGAGTGATAAGCAAGACGTTAAGGCAATGCAGAAAGTTACACAGATTTAAAAACCTTCACTTTTAAAGCTCAGTTTTCTTCAAGTATCAAAAACCTAATGAAGATAATATAGGGAGGGTGAGAGAGATGGCTCACCTGTAATCTAACATCTGGGAGGCTGAGGTGGGCGGATTGCTAGAGGTAAGGAGTTCGAGACCAGCCTGAGCAAGAGGGAGACCCCTCTCTACTATAAATAGAAAGAAATTAATTGGCCAGCTAATATATAGAGAAAAATTAGCGGCATGTGGCGCATGCCTGTAGTCCAGCTACTCGGGAGGCTGAGGCAGGAGGATTGCTGAGCCCAGGAGTTTGAGGTTGCTGTAGTAGCGAACCACGGCACTCACTCTAGCCTGGGCAACAAGCGAGACTCTGTCTCAAAAAAAAAAAAAAAAAATGAGCAGGACCAAAGGGAAAACTGAAGCTTCCCAATTTCATTTAAGTTCTTGGAACCTCAGCTCCCACGGCAGGTTAAATCCCTACTAGTGCTATTAATATGAGATGATAGAAAGAGTGAGTCTGAAACCGATTTTATGTGTATTTTTCCACATACAATAAAGTCAATGGAAGAAATTTTATCTACAACTAGGATTAAGAGACCAAAATATCTTCATAAACCTTTGACTATAAGTTTCTGATTTTGTGAACCTACTTACTTGATGTTTTAGTTATTCTAATTTACTGACCCTTATTTTTGTTTAGCCATGCCTACATTATTACCTAAGGAAGAACCTTAAACATATGGATATTTTTGTTCATAACTCAGGAGACTTAGCTGTTTATATACCAATAATATTAGTTTTATCAGAAATTATACAAACACAGATCATTTTGTTTTGCCTGGGTTTATAGTTTTGTAACCTTTGTATCAAACCCTGACACATTAAAACATCTAGGAGCAGGCCAGGTGGGGTGGCTCAAGCCTGTAATCCTAGCAGTCTGGGAGGCCGAGGTGGGAGGATCACTCAAGGTCAGAGATCAAACCAGCTGAGCAAGACGAGACCCGTCTCTACTAAAATACAAAGAATTATTGGCCAACTAAAAACTATAGAAAAAATTAGCCAGGCATGGTGGTACGTGCTGTAGTCCAGCTACTTGGGAGGCTAGGCAGGAGGATTGCTTGAGCCCAGGAATTTGAGGTTGCTGTGAGCTAGGCTGATGCCACGGCACTCTAGCCCGTACAACAGAGGGAGACTCTGTTTCAAAAAAAAAAAAAAACCATCTAGGAGGGACAAGTCATAAAAATGAGCGCTAAACTCAGGCAAAATTTTATGCTGATAGTTTTGGAGATTTTTTTTAATCAATAATTTAAAACTATATCTATTAAGAGATTATTAAGATAATAAGAACTTAAAAAGCATTTAGATTTCTTAATTTATGAGCATGCATTTATTTATAAGCCAATTTGGTACTATGTAGACACAACATGTAATACATATACATACACATAAACACATCTAAAGTTCTTTTACCTTTTTTATTTCAGTTTCAAATGAGCTTTCAGTGTTTATATTAATCTCTAAGTAGCTTTGAATTAGTAGTTTTATCTCAACACTGACAGCTTAGCAACTATAGATTCAGAGTAGAAAAGAAAATAGCATAACATACTCTACATTTTAACTCTATTGTGGCAGAGTGATTACTTGCCCTCTGAATTTTCCTTGATATAATTTGGCCATCAGTTTAAACATGTGCACAAGAACAGGCCATAATATGTAATTACCAGGAATCCTAGAAAACTTGGCATCACTTTGACCTTTCTCATAGCACATTTACATGCCACAAACTAATAAATACAAGAAGTTTCAAATAGAAGCCCAAATCAAACAAGTGCAAATGAACTGGTCCACAAATCGAGTTGAAGTCCAACAACTATTCCCCTGACCAACAGGGTACCCCAACAGAAATAAGAACAGAGTGGCTTATTCGGAGGAAAAACCCCGAATGGAAGGGAAAAGAGTTCCCCATTGTACACACTGGAGCGACTTACCCTACAGATTCCATATTGAGTCTGTCGACTGGCCAGTTACCATTTTCCTTTCACCAGTAAAGCATTGCAGACAGCTGATTCTGTGAAGGGGACGGAAAGGAGAATTACCCCAAGATGAAAAGATTCTTGGCAGCTGCTGGGACATCCTTGGGTTCCCATCCTCAGGGTCAGTTAGCCATGAGCAGCTGGTGCTTACAGTTGACTGTTGCTCTGCTGCAGCCAACTTCTCTGTCCCTAGTAAATCAGGTGAGCTAAAACCATCCAAAACACACAGCCTCACTTTGTGGATCCAGGAATTTATAACCCAGTGCGGAATCAGCTGCTCACCACTCAACAGCCAAACTTGAGAGAGCAGGGTTGGTGAAAGGAAAAGCACCTTTTATTCAAAAGCTGGCAACCTGAGAAGATGGTGGACTAATGTTGCAAAAGCCAGGTCAAGTTTCTCAGGCTGACCACAGGGTTTATAAAGGGGACAGAGGCCTGGGAGGGGCTGGCTATGTGCAGGTTGGTATGTCTTGTTCTGATGGTTAACATAATAGAATTGAAGGTTAACTGCTCAGCATTTTTCTCCAGCGGGGAGAGGAAGAGTCCCACACCTTGGTTCCATAGTTAGCTGCTCAAGGCCAGTTTCTGGACTTACTAAGCAAGCACACAATTAGGCTTTGTAAAAAAAAAAAAATTAGTACTTAATATTAAGATGGAGTGACTGTTACTGTTAAACCAACAGAGATTGGTTCCAAGATAAGACATCCTTGATTTTTATTGTTTTGTAGCTGTCATGGGTGTTATTTATGTTTTCTTCATATTAAGACCTTGCCAGAGAAATGATTTGTCAATATTTTCTGCAATTTCACGGCTTGCCTTTTTCCCTCTGTTCATACTGTACTCTGATGCACAAACATTTTTAAACATATTTGCTTTGTTTTTTTCTTTCACAAGACTTAATATCACGCTAATGCCCAGGCTGGAGTGCAGTGGTTTTGTGATAGCTCACTGCAGCCCTGAAGGCTTAGGACTCAGGTGATTCTCTCGCCTCAGCCTCCCCAGTAGTGGACAGTACAGGCGTGCACCACCATGCCTGGATAATCTTAAGACTGGGCCTGCTGCAATTTTTACCTTCTCTCCAGTTGGCCCTCGGCAATTCACTAATTAAAATTTAGGTTTTCTAATCTCAGTATTGTTTCCCACAAAAGGTTCTGCTCATGGGATTCTGTTTCAGTAAGTTATGACTCTTCTCAGCTGGGTAGGAGAGTCCCATCTAAAATACCATGAAAGATTTAACTTTGTGAACAAGCAGTTTTTTTTCTTTTCCTTTTTTAAAATGTCTACTCCCTAATCCTGAGAAACTAGCATTTTCAAGAATACAGTCTCAGGATTGCTAATGCTAACATTTTTCTGCACACTAATTAGTGGGACTTTGTTATAACATGTGCTGCAGATTCACTGTACAAAGAGGCATTAGGGGTGACCCAGGCAGCCCATCTTTCTCCCTGGATTCACCAGTAAGACATGATTTGCTGTTCACTATTGCTCTACCCAGCAGTTGTATACTAGCACCAGAATTGCTGTATGAGAGGACATGGGTATAGAAAGAGAGTAAGAGTCTGAGAAAATCATGGAATAAATGCTTGGACTCACCACCATCTTGTAAACTTCTTATCAGTAGAGTATATGTCCCCAATGCTATCAGTCTCCACTATCTTCTACACATGTGGGATGTTTCAGGACTCAGTGGCCTTTGAGGATGTGGCTGTGAACTTCACCCTGGAGGAGTGGGCTTTGCTGGATCCTTTCCAGAAGAATCTCTACAGAGATGTAATGCAGGAAACCTTGAAGAACCTGGCCTCTGTAGGTAAGGGTGACAACATTCCTTCACTCAGTGAATTAGAGAACAAGAGTTTCTTGTTTATCAAGGCTGTTTTGTGATTTGGAATATGGACATGAAGTACTTTGAATAAATCAGGCATTGTTGCAGTATACCATGAACATAAAATCTAGTAATTTTTTCATGATTTTATAATAATTCATGACTATTTTTCTGGGTCTGCAATTTAGGGACAAAATGGAAAGACCAGAACATTGAAGATCAGTACAAAAATCCCAGGAGAAATCAAAGGTAATTTGTACTCACAGGACAAAGCAATGTCTTTAAAGAAAATTTTAGGATATTAGAAAATGTTAAAAACATGCAAACAAAACAAATACCCCAGGGTCAAATTGTTTTATTCTCAGAAAATTTTCTCTAAAAATGCATAGTTAAATGTGACAAACATGTTTAATGTCTGTGAATTTAATTGATAATAGTATTATGCAACCCCATATGAATATTATTTTTTGATAATAGGTATGGCTAGCAGAGCTTATTGTCCATTCATGTTCAAATAATCCAGAAAGCCAATGCTGTTAATGTTAAAAATGCAAGTGCCACTTATTAACAAATATAAAATCATTTATAAATAAACCAATAATAATGTGCTTCTCATTTTCTACAGAAGTCTTATGGGAGAGAGACACATTGAAAGTCAACAAAGTAGTCAGTGTGGAGCAGCCTTCAGCCAGGTTCCAGATCACATCCTAAACAAGAAAACTCCTGGAGAAAAACCTTGTGAAAGGAGTGTGTGTGGAGAAGTCTCTGCTGGTGATTCATCTTTGAATATACGTATCAGAGCCGACACTGGACACAAACCATATGAGTATCAGGAATATAGAAAAAAGCCATACACACGTAAGCAACGTGAGAAAGCCTTCAGTTATCGCTACTCCTTTCGAACACGTGAGGGACCTCCCACTGGAGAGAAACCCTATGATTGTAAGAAATGTGGACAAACCTTCGTTTCTCTCATAGACTTTCGAAGACACATGGTAAAGCATAGTGGAGATGGACCTCATAAATGTAAGTTTTGTGGAAAACACTTTGCTTCTCTCAGTTTATATCTCATACATGAAATAATTCACACTGGAGAGAAACCATATAAATGTAAACAATGTGGCAAAGCTTTTGGTTGGTACAGTTCTGTTCGAGCACATGAAAGAACTCATACTGGAGAGAAGCCCTATCAATGTAAGGAATGTGGGAAAAAATTCATTCATTACAGTTCCTTTCATCGACATGAGAGGATTCACACAGGACAGAAGCCGTATGAATGTAAGGAATGTGGGAAAGCATTCAACTGTCCTAGTTCCCTTCGGAGTCATGAAATGACTCACACTGGAGAAAAACCCTATGAATGCAAGGAATGTGGGAAAGCATTTACTCATCGTGTAAGCTTTGAATGTCACATAAGAATACACACTGGAGATAGACCTTATAAATGTCAGATATGTGGGAAAGCCTTTTATTCTCTCCGATCATTACAAAAGCATGACAAAAGTCATACTGGAGAGAAACCCTATGAATGCAAGCAATGTGGGAAAGCCTTCAGTTGTTCCACTTCCTTTCGGATACATGAAAGGACACACACTGGAGAGAAACCCTATGAGTGTAAGCACTGTGGTAAAGCCTTCAGCTGTTCCAAGTATATTCGAATACATGAAAGAATGCACACTGGAGAGAAACCCTATGAATGTCAGCAGTGTGGGAAAGCATTCCATTATGTCAGTTCCTTTCGTAGACATGAAAGGTCTCACACTGAAGGGAAACCCTATAAATGTAAGTATTGTGATAAAGCCTTTACATCTTCAACGAACTTTCGAGTACATGAAATAATTCATACTAGAGAGAAACCTTATGAATGTAAGGAATGTGGAAAAACCTTCGTTCATTCCAGTTCCTGTCAAAAACATGAAAGAACTCATACTATTAATATATGAGAAAATCCAATTAACGTAAGGAATTAGGAAAACATTCAGTTGTCCCAGTTCCTTTCTTTGTTTGAGACAGAATCTTGCTTTCTTGCCCTGTGTAGAGTGCAGTAGCATCAATCATAGCTCACTGCAGCCTCAAATCCTAGGCTCAAGCAGTCCTCTTGCCTCATCCTCCCAAGTATTTGGGACTATACGAGCACACCATGACACTTGGTTAATTTTTCTGTTTTTTATAGAGATGGGGGTCCCGTTCTTACTCAGGCTGGTCTCAAACTACGGAGCTCAAGCAATCCTCCCACCTTGGCCTCCCAGAGTGCTAGGATTACAGGAGTGAGCCACTATTCCCAGCTGTCCCAGTTCCTTTCAAGCACAGCACAGGAGTGGAGAAAGACCTCATGACTTACTTTACTTTTCAGTTGGGAAGAGATCTGTGATAGGACAATAAAATCTAGAGATGGAGTTGAATGATTGATTCCATGATACACTTCGACAATACCTAATCTTACATGAGGAAGGCATTAATCACATTTTAGTCACCATACTGGGTGACAGGTTAATACAGGTTGTGTGGACACTTGCTTACAGCCCATTTTCTTGATTCCTTGCCTTGGCAATCAAGTATCTTCAAAATCCCTTAAGTTTTATTTGTTCAGAGGTGTAGGTTTCCAGAGATGTCCCCAGAAACTCATGTTAAAGACTTATCTGTCGTAAAAAAAAAATGAAATTGAGCTGAAATGAACAAAGGAAAAAAAATATCTGTCACAGCTGTGAATATTCTCTCATGAGTTACTCACCTACTCAATAGATTGAATTTGTGAAGGTGTGATTTGTATTGGAGGCATCTTTGTTCTACTGGTAGTGACTCTGGTTCAGCATGACAGCTATAATGCCACCATCAAAACTAACTGTATGGGAACTTGTTTCTCTTCTGCATTGTGTAGTGACCGGTCTCACCCAGAACTTTCATGTGGGAATGAGCACTGTCCTCTTATCAGGAGTTTTGGAATGTTTTCTGTTATTCACAGCTGAATAGAACATCTCAGCTCATTTTTAATTATGTTTGATTTTATGTGATTAAAAATAATATATATTTTTGTGGCTACCAAGATTTCTGTACATGTTTCTTAGAAATAATTAACTATTTTTTAACAACTTGATACTACCAAATGTTATTCTCCTTTTCATTTCCTGACAAGGCATATTAAAATGTCTCATTGCCTGAGACTGCAAACCAATACAACCTCTGTGGAAAGTAATATGGAGATACCTCAAAGAGATACTATCATTTGATCCAGCAATCTACCCAAAGAACAAAAAGACATTCTATAAAAAAGACATCTACACTAGAACATTTATAGCAGCTCAATTTACAACTGCAAAGATGTGGAAACAACCCAAGTGCCCATCGATACATGAGTAGATTAATAACATATGCTATATGTATACCATGGAGTTCTACTCAGCCACAAAAAACAATGTAATATAGTACTTCTTCTTTTATCCTGGATAGAGATGGAGCCCATTCTACTAAGTGAAGTACCCCAAGAATGGAAAAACAAGCACCACGTGTACTTACCAGCAAATTGGTATTACCACTTCGGTACGGCGCTCACCAGCTGCGAAACCTCACCCACAGCTGGCACTCACAGTCCGCACGGTAGTTGTGCTGTGCATTGATGACGAATGCATTTTTTTTTGGTATGATGAGGAAAGCTTTAAAGCACTGAAAGCTTGTTTTACTTTATAGGCAGCTTTACTTGTAATGTAAATCAGAATAGGTAACATATAAATATATGTTTTCACTACGTTATTTTTAAATGTTCACAATTTTATTGTGATAAATGAAAAATTAGAAAAGTCATATCATGGCTGTTGGCTAAAGTCGACGCTCGGCTGTGTGCATTCATCTGTGGCTGTCGACTCTAGTCGATTGTACCGAAGTGGTTAACTGATTGACACTTACGTGCACATATAGTGATAACATTCATTGGGTGTCGGGCAGGTGGGAGGGGGAGGAGGGGATGAGTATATATACACGTAATGGGTGCGGTGTGCACCATCTTGGGATGGACATGCTTAAAGCTCTGCCTTGGGTGGGGCCAGTTTACATATGTAATATTGTACCCCTATAATATGCTGGAATAAAAAAAAATTAAGAAAACAATGTCCCATTGCCATCATGGATCAGATCAACTCTATACCATGTAAGTTGGTATTGTCATGTGCTTAAAACTTCAGACATTATTTTTCCTCCTGGAAATTTTACTTTTCATGCTTATACACTGACAATTTTTATCTTGATCCAAATCTTTACTTGACTCATAATGCCAAAGGTTAAATCACGCTGTTATGAGTGCACTATTGTCAAAGATCAGCAGTACCCATGCTGTTGTCAAACAGAGTGTAATAAATTGTGGTAACAAATATGACTGCAGCCCTAACTGATTTGACTGTGGGATATATCCGTAAAGGTTCCTCAATTTTTTTTTTTTTTTTAAGAGACAGGTCTTCCTCTGTCAGTACAGTGGCAGAGTATAATAGATAATAGTTCCATACAGCCTTGACTTACTGGGCTTCAGTGATCTTCCTTCCTCAGCCTCCCAAGTAGCTTGGATCATAGGCACATGCCACCATGCGCAGCTTATTTTTTTTGAGCTGAGGTCTCCGAAAATTGCTTAGATTGGTCTCAGCTAATTCAGAAGTTGAGGCAGAAGGATTCCTTGAGCCAGGAAGTCAAGGTTATATATATTGAGCTATGATTGTGCCATTGCACTCTAGCCTGGGCAACAGAGCAATACCCTGTCAGACCCAGAGAAGTAAAAATATAGGGCGGATGCAGTGGCTCACACCTGTAATCCTAGCCACTCTGGGAGGCCGAAGCAGGTGGATACTCAAGGTCAGGAGTTCAAAACCAGCCTTGAGCAAGAATGAAACATGTCTCTACTTAAAAATAAAAAAATTAATTGGCCAACTAAAATATAGAAAAATTAGCCAGGCATGGTGTGTGCCTGTAGTCCCACTGCTACCCGGAGGCTGAGGCAGGAGGATCGCTTGAGCCTAGAGTTAGTTGCTGTGAGCTAGGCTGACACCATGGCACTCTACCCCGAGCAACAGGGTGAGACTCTGTCTCCAAAAAAATAATATAATAGGCAATATTAAAATCTTTGAACACACTTTGATTTATTTGGTTTTTTGAGTCAGGTTTCAAACTCCTGACCTTGAGCGACCCACCTGCCTAGGCCTACCAGAGTGCTAGGATTACAGGTGTGAGCCACGTGCCCGGCCTGAACACTACTTTTTATTTTTAATAAAAAATGTAGTTCTCAAGAACCACTGTAATCAGTAAACAATTCAGGTGGATACAGAAAGGAGAACTAGCAATTGTGAATAATTGAATGGCAAAAAAGAATCTTTTTTGTGATACCTATATGTAAAAATTATAAACTCTCTAATAAGTCTGTTACATAATTTATATAATGTCATTTATCATGGTTTACCAAGGATAGTTCTTTAAAATGCCTTTATTCCAGCACGTTTTCTAGCAGCCCCTTCTTTGTTATGGGTATTTGTGATTAAATAATAATAAATATAATGGATATCATTTAATACAAATTAAGTTTTTAAGATTCAATGATATTTTTAGGAAAGTTCCAATCTCATGTTATTAACATTTTAAGCTGTGTGTGCTCATTTCTCCAGCCAGTGTTCACTGAACACCTTCTGTAAAATGAGGTGAATAAGATCGTCAGAGCTATAATTTGTCATGACAGAATTTCTGATCTATAACATCCATGTCTGTATTTCTAAAATTCATTCTGTTTTCCATTTTCAATGCTACTTCCTTTTTGTAATTCTCATATTTTTCTTGATTTCAATAATTTTCCCTGTTACATTCCTTAAATCAGTTTTTGTTCCTTCATGCAATCATTCAGGCACCTCAGTGACCCTTCTCTCCGGCATTTTGAAATTATACCTCTCCTCTCTGTTCAGTTTTTCTCACCATCTGCTACTTGATAAAGTCCTATGCAATTACATTGTCCAAAAGCCTCTTTAATGGACTTCCTCATATTTACTCCTTGCTGTCCTGAATTTAGTCCCTCCAAAATTTATACTTAGAAGCCTTAAACCCCAATGTGATGGTATTAGGACATGAGGCCTTTAGGAGGTGACATAAGGGAATGGGAGAGGGTCCCCATGTTGATTGTCACTCAGTTTCTGTGCCACTTGAGGACTGAGAAGTAATCCACCTACAAGCCAGGAGGGAGGCCTTCATCAACAACCAAATCGGCTAGATCTTGGACTTCCCAGCCTCCAGGTCTATGAGACAGAAATATCTGCTGTTTGAGACACTCATGGTATTTTGTTGTGGACGCCAGAGCCAAGATGCCCCAGTAGCCTCATTTCCGTCATTAATCACATAGTGTGTTCTATGATGACTGCATATGGATCTACCTGAACTGGCCCCAAATCCTCCACTCTGTCTATACACATTATTGATTCTAACTTAAATACCCTAACATTTGACATGGTCCAAGCAGGAAATGGGTGACATACTCACTGTAGTAAGAGAAGTTGATGGAGCTAAAGTTCTGATAGTACAATAGGAAGCCCACGTGGCCTGGGGAAAATGACCAGGGCAGCAGCAGCAGGGAGCTAAGGGCATCGCTAGGCCTGAAGGAGCAGTCACCAGGCCCCAAGGAGACCTTGAGCTTCAGCAGAGGCCAGTTCAGCAGGAGCTGTGCCCTGGAGCAGAGGAAAGCAGGGTGGCAGCCAGGGGAATAAAAACCCTCACTTTTCTTTCTTCCATTTACTCACTTTCTGCCGGCACCTCCTATGAGCTAAACCAATCGGAAGCCAGAGGCTTCTGGGAGCCTGACTGCTGTGCTACTTGCAGGTCAGCTTGGTGGGGCACAGAGCCAGCTGCGAAAACAGAGTGGACCCAACCTGGAAACAGGTATCTTGAGCACTTGGGCTACTCTAATTTTTCTCAGAGACTCAGATCAAGTACCGTATCATTGGAAAATTATGGTATAACTTTTGAGAACTGCCAAGATCCTCAGCTCCCTCCTGTTCCTAGGTGAGGAGACATGCAAACCATACCCCAACCCCAAGGTAGGAAAGAGGCCAAAGAGAGGATGACAAATCTAGTTCCTCAGAAATATGTAATAGAGAATTCACAATGGAATTCACGTCTTGGGTGGCCACAAGACATGATGTATTCCTGTGTCAGTCCTGCAGAAAGTATCCTGTATATAGCAAGCCTTTAGACTACAGAATGTGCACCTAGTCACATCCTGAGACTTTCTGAAACTCGTGACCACAGGGGAGCACAGAGACACTTCTTTATGAAGGATTTATCTATGCTACCAGAATTGCTGCAGAACATTTTGATGTGCAGGAGTGAAACATCAGTCGTCATGGCAGTTTCACTTTAAGATGGCATCACTTTTATCATGCAACGGGCTGTTCTCCTACACTCCGCCCCTGGAAACAGGCCCTTATGATCTCTCATGCCCACCCCTTCTACAGTAGTCCCTGGGCCTACAGGGAAGGTGCTGATATTGTATAGTTTTACGAGTAGTGCGTTGGTTCCATTGGAGGTAGGTGCTGCAGCCATAGTTAAGATGAAAACAGAATAGTAAATAACATGTGAGGGTTACCTCTCGAATGGAGGGATTTCATTTCACTTGGTGGGTATCAGGCCAATAGACACAGCCAA